TACACGTTGCTGGGCGTGCCCCCCCCCCCAGCCTCCTCGTGGGTGGGGTGGGGTGAGAGGTAGAAAAGGCCTTGGCTCTGGGTAAGCCCTGCTCAGCAATAACTAAATCATCCCTGGGTTATCGACGCTGTTTCCAGCACAGATCCAAACCACAGCCCCATACCAGCCACTAGGAAGGCAGTTAACTCTATCCCAGCCAAACCCAGCACAGTTTGTTACAGAAATTTACTTTAGGAGTTTGAAAAAGTATTTTGGCCAAAGCTTTAGTTGAAAAAAGCTATTGGCCAAGGCTTTAACTTCCGAAGAAAACCAAAAATTCTTGCATCACTTTTGAAGTGAGGCTTGACTGCCTGACAAGCTGCCGAGCAGTAGGCTCCAGCTATAAAGATCAAAGCAAGAGGCACCAATTAGGATGAGGGAGGATGCTGCTGGCACTGAGCTATAGCGGAACCCCGGACCCTTACATGTACAGCGGTTCTCCTGGAGCAAGTAAGTCAGGTGAAAAATGCTGAGATAAACCCAAAAAATGACAGCTAAAAAAAAAATTCTGAAAGGATTTCTGCATATAAACTCTGAACGTCTAAAGAAAGTCTAAAATAGCTTTTATTTCCATAGTCTGATCATGAGACCGAAATTCCACTCCTAGAAGATCATTTCTTAAAGAGTGTTAATTTCTTACAACTGATTTTCTCTCAAATTAATTTACTGATAAACCCTCATGGCATTGTTTGTCCCTGTTTGTGGTTTTTTGTCGTTGTTTTGGAACTTTGGGGAGAACGTGCTCTGATCTGAGTGTGTAACCTATTAGCTGCATCTCGTAACGTGCAGAACAATTCCTCCTGAATGACGAAACGGTGCTGGTTTCATGACACCAACTTCAAAGAGCAGCAGTGGCTGCTCACTCACAGGCCCACGCTCTCACAAAAAGCAACCCAAGGCGTTCTGAAGAACCTTCTCCCTTTGTATGAGTATGCTCTGGTGATATTCACAACTGATTCCTTAATTTCTGCCGCAAAACATTTTCTTGGTATTTGAGCAAAAATCCCTTTTCACAGCTTAAAGACCTGCAACGATGGTTCGCAAGACATAAACCGAGTATAAACGGAGCTCTAATTCTTTTGTGGTGCGCTAGATGTCACTGGCGCATGCTACACGTCCTTTGAGTTGGCAAAAGCATTCAAGTAGGACAGCATTAAATCTCTGGATGATTTTAACAATCACCCCGTTAAAATTCTGTTAGCAGTTTCTTGACAAACCCTATTTTAACAGGTTCGTAACTCAAGCGTGCACATTTACTCCATGATGAAACATGACACGTTGTGCAAAAGATTCAGATGGGGTAAGCATTTTATTTTTAATGGTGGACATTTTCCTCTTAATATATGCAGGGGAAATTTTCTGGATTCAACTGTTTTTTATGCTCCACTAAATCAAATGCTCTTTCATATAAAAGATAAAAAAGGAGGCTGATCATTTCAGTCTGTGAAATTATTTAAGTGGCCTCAAAGTCTTTTAGGAGTCTGTGGTAGAGGGAAGAAATAACAAAGCACAGTTACTATTCAGACCCGTTTTTCGGTGTAACCAGACAGATTCCCGATCAATAAAAACATCAGGTAATCAGTCATAACAGTCTTCAGGAAAAGTATGAATCTCGCACTGTGTATCAGTCTTACAAAGTACAGGATAGGGAAAAATCAGCCTGTCCTGAGAGACGCATGGGTTTTCCCCAGCTGGCAGTGCCGAACACAGCGCGGCTGTTACGTCCGTGACTCCTAAATCACATCTTTGTTTTCCAGCCAAACATTTCACTTGAATGCAAATACGCGGGATTGGGCTACTCGCTTGGGACTTCTGGCTGTGAGGCAGCCCATCCAAAACAGCCTGGCAGCGAGTACGGCACGGCCTGTGCGCACGATGTCGTTGTGCACATCAGAGTTAATCCAGCACATCCAGAGCACACTGCACCTCCTTGTATCTCTTCGTTTCATAAATGATTGTTGGACATGACCTGACATATCGGAGCGACATTTCCCAGAGGCGATGATGGAAGCCTCAAACATTAGCTTCGGTTTAGCGGGGTTTCCTTCTCGTAGAAATGCAGCTCTGGAGCCAGTCACGAGCGTGACTTTGCTCAGCTGCTGATGGGCATTAGCTGTGTGGACTACCCTTTCCGCCCAGCTCCAGCGTAAAGCCAAGCACCGCTGGGACCCCAGCACTGCTCTGACCGGTGCCTGGCTGCCAGCATCAACCAGGATGAGTCACCAGTGAGATCTGCCTCTATCCCAGCAGCACGCCACCTGCAAAGGGGAACAGGTCGCTCGGCTCCACTCTGTCCTCAGCTTGCCCCCACATTCCTTAAAAGATCGTCGCAGATAATTGTTTTCAAACAGTGACGTAAATTCTATTAAAGTCAGGGCCTCCACTACGATTTATAAGCAGAAACGCAGCAGGGTGTTCCCAAAAAGCCCATTTAAGAAAAGCCACAGGTATCTTCCAATACACAATAATGTTGGAAGTTGTGTTAAAATCACAACTGCGAGAAATGATGTGCTAAATCTGTGCTGTTGGTACAGTTCTCTCTTCTGTATACATCATGAAATTTTTGAACACTTGGTAAATACCTCGGCTAAACTTATATTCCTTAGTGCTAATCAGGGTTTTAAAACAGGGGGCCTCATCTCTTCCTGACTTTCTAATCTTCCTCCCATCATACCCAGTTTATTAAACGATCTTTTCTCCTATTGATCTCTTTTCTGCTAGGATGTGGAGCAGATTGCTGGCTGGCAGAAGGACGGTTGTGACTCTTGGCAACCTCTCCCCAATGAGGGGACATCCATTGCGATTGTGTCCTGTGACTGTGGCAAGGAAGAGCATTGAGGTATCCCTCTAAAGGTCAAAACTCCAGGAATGATGGTCACAGAAGGAATTCCTTTTTAGATTTGGGTAAGCACCTGAGCTGAGCCCAATCTCTTGAGGTTCACCCACTTGCTAGCAAAAACTTGTTAACTTCAGATGTCAAGCTACAAAACTCTCGCTTCATTTTTCTCCTTATTTTAGTAAGCTGACACTTGCTGGCCTCTACCCTAAAGTCAGGAAAGCATTCCCTGGGATTTTGCTGATTTAAATATTTAAAAGCTTTTGAAGAGAGAAAAAAAGAGAAGGAAAAAAAAAAAAAGCTGAGAATGCAGGCACATGGAGCATTTTAATGAGGTTGTTTCTAAGCTGATACCCCATACATTTGCAGACCAGGCAAATGAATAACCGCCCTTCACACTAGAAAAAACTGCTTTTTAACCTATCTTAGCTCTATTCTATTCTGTGTATTTCACTGGACACACAAACATCCCTGAAAAGCCGTCCTTGTATTTTCAAAGGACCCCAAAATGAAGAGGGACACGTTTTCTGACCATGAAGAGAGTCTGCATCAGAAAAAGATTCTTTTTATGGAGTTGAAAGGGCTAACCGCCTCCACACACGTATACCAGCTCACTTTCATATACTAATCACGGTAGATTTGCAGAGAGCTTTCCAAAGTGAGGAGTAGAGGGGTGTCAGAATTTTCAACTGTCATCGAGGTCATATAAATTTTCTGAACCTGGACAGCACCGAATAACGTCCTTTTGACCGTGAGCATTTCTAATGGGATCCCGCTTTGGCCATACTCTAAACTGGCTACAACTGGAAGAAAAATATACAGACCTCAATGAATTTACAAGCTGTAAAAGTGGAAAAGTAATGATAAAGAGGGATCAGGACATAGTCTGGTTGTAAGGCAGGAAGAAAAATTCTATTGCGACTAGTTTTGGGAGTGGGTTGGGGTACAACGGTCACTTACAGGAGCACCGCAAGCAGATTTACTGGCACTCTTCCTTAGAGAGAAAGGAAAATAGTTATCTATCAGGGATTTCTGCTGGCTTCCTGCCAAGTTTCCTTAATTTCCACTTCCACTCTTGAATAAAATTGGGAACAAAAAATCACAAAGATCCCATTCTGGGAACAATCAGCAGCTCTGGCAGTGGACAAGTGAACACAAAACTCCCAGTGCATCACCGAGACCTAAACAGCATGACCATGGAGATGCCTACAAACAAAAACCAGCCACCAGAAAGAAGGAGGCTGTATTGCCACCCCTCTGAAAGCTACCACTGCTAAACTGCATCTGATTTTCATATTCCTAGTTCAGAAAGTGATGCTGGAAGACTGGAGAGGGTTCAGAGAAAACTCTAAGCGATTAAAAGAATTAAAACATAGCCCAGACTGCAGAGGTCAAGGAATTTCTCAAGAAAAAACCATTAAGAGGATGATGTGATCATAAGCCTAGACCTTGGTGGGAACTAGAAATTGAAAGCACCAATAGGCTGCTTCAATCTAGCACCTGAAGTCATAATTAAAACTCTATGACTGAATCTAGACAAATAAATAAAAAAAAAGGCCTAATTTTTGACAGTAAAAATAATTACCCTGCAATAACAACACAAAGGTTGTAGTTGATTGTATTTTCTTGAGCAGTTGCTTTGCTGAAAGACACGCTCCAGCAAAATTAATTTTGGGAGTTCCTATGGTCTTTATTATACTAGGTCAGACTGATCACAGTGATCTTTTCCAACCTATAAACTCTGAATATATGCAGAGCTTTAGTATGCTGTAATTCATCTGCACTAAATTAAGAGCTCGGGAGAACAAGCCTTTCTTCAATCACAGTCCACCGAGATGGCTCTCAGCCATTTGCTTTTTAGGCTGCTGACTGACATGCTACTTTATACCATCATGGAACAGTCTGGTCTAGTTTTCACTGAGATAAAAAGCAAACACAAAGGTGAAACACACACAAAAAATCCCAAAAGATAGCGGCTGCTTTAGAAGAAGAGTCTGATTTGCATTTTCATTGTTTTGAATCATATGCAGGATGCTGAAACACAAAAATAGATTTTCGAACAAAATGATTCTACAGCAATATTGATACACTGGCAGCCGAATGGGTTGAGATACTAATTTTGTCTTAGAACCTACTTGCCACTAGCGATGACTCAGAAAAACCCACGTAAAGAGATTACCTTCATTTCATTTCCTTACCCGTGTCATCTCTGGCTTCTATTCTTATGTAGGCAGAGCGCGGAGTTACCTCTGGCCCCCAAAGCAGTAGCGTGCCAGAGTGATATCCCACTGGAGCTCTGCTAAGGTGCAAGAGCCCAGGCACAGCGGCACCCAAACCGCTCTGCTGCAGCGACCAGAGCTGGCCCGTTCACTGGCAACAAGCTGTGAGTACAGTCAGTCAATAAAAAGCCGTCTCTTACGTTTTATGTGACACTGGCATTTAACTGCTACTTTGGAAATTGACTGAAAAAGCAAACCAACACAAAATTATATTTATAAGTGGCCTGTCTACTGCTGTTCACCATCTCCTCTAGCAGCTGGTGGGACAGGCCCATGCAGATCTGTCTGCTCAGCCCACTGGGTGCACACCACCTCTCTTCCTTCCCCTTCCCTTTCTTCTCCTTCGGTTTCCACAAAAAAAGAGAAGGAGACATGCTCCAAACGGAAACTGCAGAAAGCCTGAAGGTCAGCAACTGGAGCACCAAAGCCCTTGCTTGGAGATCACGGAGTAGTTTTGGTACACAGAAAGTAAATTCCTTTGGAGGAATTTAAACTGGAAGCTCCTCCCCAGCGTGGACCAAACGTACTGCAAGCTCTCACGGTGACAATGTCTAAATCGTGCGTACTGGGGCCAGTCGGCTCCAGGGAATGGACTGAACCTAGTAAAGCTGTAAACTCCCAAGCTGCACATAAGGGGAATGCAGAGGGCACGCACCAACTGCTTCAGATGATTTTTCTGTTCCTGTTGTGTTGAACTGCTTGCTAACAGAGACAGACCAACAGGCTTCAAAACAGTCCATAGAAATACAGAAAGAGCAACAAATAATATACTTACTTAAAAAGTTCATTCCTCATGATAGCTCTATTTGTTTGCGGGTCAATTGCGTAGACCATGAGGTCAGACTTGGTGTAATCCTCTTCGGAGTATCCATCTCCAAACCTCCGCGCGCCTATGGATTCCACCACAACTGTTGCGCCGGGAATCTGATCTTGGACGTAGCGTTCCAAAATCCTGAAGATGAGATGGAGCCAGAAAGCTGCAGTGATTTATTTGTGCTGATCAAGATTGACAACAGCCCAAACGAGACACTAATAGGCAAAACCCACAGGCTTAGAAGGATGGTAACCTTCAGAGCACTTATAAAAAAAAATCTCCTCCAATATAACCTCTTAAATGCTGAACTCTTGGGAAAAGCTTAGCAGTGGTAGGAGAGGTCATCAGACATAGTGTCCTTAAGTCTCACTCTTTGTATTTATGGCATCAGTTGAGTTTTAAATGGCTCATGGGAAACACCATCTATATTTCACAAAAAAAAACCTGTCATCCTTTTATTAAGCTCTGTGATTTCAGAACTCTTCAATTCCAGCTTTACACAGAGTGCATACAATAAATCTTCACCCACAGAAACAACTACTTCACCCACTTGCAGTGGGATATTTCATCTGGCCCTCCAACACAACACATCGAGTACCAGAACACCGGCTACTCCAAAAGGCATGAGCAAGTTTTACAGCTGTAAGAAAGTTGGAATATCAAGCTGACACATTTACCAGAGGGAAAAAAATAAAATAAACTGCAGAAGTTCTACAAGCAGAAGAAAGACAGGTTGATAGAATTCAGCGGCAGCTATGCCCGGGATAACAAGGGCATAACAAGAATCACCAAAACAAATCTGTTCTTTTCCCAAAGAGAAGGATTCATTACAAGCTGCCAGAGCACATAATGGTACACTCAGCAGATACGTGTATGAATTGTAATGTGTCAATACAGGAGATAAATGCAATTCCGGAGAATTAAAATTTGTTAGAGAAGATGACATTTACTGGTCATTTGGTTAATATTCTTGGCATGTGACTGATTTTCTTTATTACTGAATATTCTTTCCCTTTTTTTTTTTTCTTTTGACAACTGAACGTCTGCAGACGTCTTGGTATGTGCTTTTGGAAGCCTTTGTTCCAAATCCAAAATCTCTTGTTTTTCTACAGTTTTCCATGCAAAACTGTTCATGGGAGAAATCTTAAAATGTGATGTTATTCCTAAAATATTCAAAAAGGCAAAGCAAGAACAGCTGTTTGCAGGATGTCCCTCCCTCCACACAAACACTCATGCCTATGCCAGGTTGAAATGCCTTCAGCGTGCCTGCAGAAGCACCAAACCGATGGGGTAAGGACCACACTGGGCACCTGAGAAGTTTCTGCACAGATAGCAAGCACACCTGTACCTTAGATATGGAGAGTTTATGGAAAGTTCTAAGCATAACTCACTACTGCTCTAACAAGCTGCTTTAGAAAGGACAAAACCTTAATAAAATTAAAAAAAAAACACGATAGAATGGAATGGTTGGGTTGGAAGGGACCTTAAAGGCCATCTGGTTCCAACCCCCCTGCCATGGGCAGGGACACCTCCCACCACACCAGGTTGCTCACAGCCCCATCCAACCTGGCCTTGAACACTCCCAGGGATGGGGCAGCCACAGCTTCTCTGGGCAACCTCTGCCACTGCCTCACCACCCTCACCGGGAGGAATTTCTTCCTAATATCTCATCTAAATCTTCCCTCTTCCAGGTTAAAGCCATTGCTCCCTGTCTTAGCACTCCCTGCCTTTGTCAAAAGTCCCTCCCCAGCTTTCTTGTCGGCCCCTTTAGGTACGGGAAGGCTGCTCTAAGGTCTCCCTGGAGCCTTCTCTTCTCCAGGCTGAACAACCCCAACTCTCAGCCTGTCCTCACAGGACAGGTGCTCCAGCCCTCGGATCATCTTTGTGGCCTCCTCTGGACTCGCTCAAACTCATATATATACGTATTTTCTTTTCCATCCTCCGTGTCTGCTCCGCTACTCTACTGGGGCCCATGAAATTTGCTGAGTTCCTGTGGCAGACTGCTGCCCTGTGCATCCAATGAAAAAGAGAGGTTTAGAAGTATTACAGCTCAGCTGGATGACCTTCAAATTCTGTAGGCAACGGGAAGAACCGGTACTCCCATCAAGACCGTAGCTGAGGCTGGCAGCCAAGATGGCGGGGACCCCAACTCTCGCAAGAATGGAGGGAGCCAGAAGGAAAATGGAAAGCTGTTCAGGCACTGCCATCAGAAAAGCTTTAACCATGGCTGTTGGACAAGGACAGAAGACATCTCGGAGAAAACAGGAAGAGCAAAAAACAGACTTACTAACGGTGCGATGAACGGTGCGATGAAGTTTCCAAACTGGGACTGAGAAAGGTTGGGTTAAAGCCCACAGAGAGTTTTATAAACAAAGGCATAAAAGCAAGTATCATCCATATGGGATACGAGGGCAAAGTAGTACGGAGGAATAAACAAGAGAAGCTGGAAGTCCAAACACCCCATCGGAACTATGAGTTACAGGAAAATACAAGATTTTCTGGGCTAATTTATGCGATCAGAATGTCAAATCAAAAAGCAATAGCTGAGTTGGGAAGCAAAAGCAAGGGAACGAGAGGGAACATGCTGCCTGATACGTCAAGGATGCACTAGGGTGCGGAGAAAGACAAATCTCATAAAAAAGGACATCAATGACTTTAAGAAGTCACTTGTTTTCAAAATAATCTTTCGCAGTTGCTGAGGTTACATTTTGCTGTTGTTTTTTTCCTGACACAAGATTTCCAAAGTAAAGCAATGCTGTCAAAGCCATATCACCGTCTCGTAATTTTTCAAGACCCCTGATTCGCGTTTATCCATCCAGTTTTTCTGCTCTTTGTGTGAAAGTTTAGCATGCCCTCAAAATAGAAGCTTTTCGCTAAGATTTTGAAAAATCCAAATCTGTCAGACTCAGGTCCTAGCCTAGCAGTGAATATATACTCTTAGCGCAGAACCATTTTTGTAGGG